AAACTCAAGACCTCGTAGCAACATACCAGTCAGCCATCACAAACACTTAACATCTTCAAAACGCTGCAGCTCTATGTGAACAAAAAGCTGGAGCCCTGATGTCTCCACACTAACAAGGCCCATCTGAAAGCAGGAGGGGAAATACAAGCCGGCCTGTGCTTGCCACTTCATTTCCTGGCTGGTAAGAGCTTGTTTCCTGTGCATCAGCCTAAACATGGCATTTCACAGGAGAGACTTTGCCGTATTGCCCCCTCCCCTCCGCTACCACCGGTCCACTTTTGACTCTCAGCTGCAAACAATTTATATTCAAGACACACTGAGTAACAGTTTCCAGATTAGCCCTTGATAGGATTCAAATTGAAAATGACATTTTGGAGGAGGGACAATGTAAATCACATTCATGTTTTGTCAAGCCCAGGCAGCGGTTCAAACCAAGGGAGTGCTCGTGGTTTTTCAGCACTCCATACCAACTTGCGGAAAGGAAGCTATGGAAACAAATTTTCACACTAGGAACTATTGCAGGGCAAGTATAAAGCTGTCTTGCTTACAAAGAGTGGAGGCTGTGATTTTAATGAACTCAGACTTATGTAGTGCATATGTCGGACAAATGTTACACATCTTGGTTTTCCCCCTTGAACTGCAAATGACTAAAGGAAAACTTTTAGCTTCCAATAATTAGAAAATAGACACTACTCATTTGGCTGTATACTAAATATTAAGGCAAAAGTTTACAAGTTAAGATTGGATTGAGTATAAGCTATCAATCTGACCACATTAGCACCATGGCTTCATAATGGTCAGTGATTAAAGGTGGGATCAAAACCCTGCTGGCATGAAAGGGACAAGATATTTTAATAGTTAGACATGAGGATAACATTTTGCAGATGACCTTAAAATGGATTGGCCAGCCTGGGCATGACCTTTGGAGTGTGATATGTTAAAACAATAGACTGTATGCAAAAGGTGGATATATGTATGGATATATTCCCTTTGATGCTTTCCTTTTGAAGTCTTAGTGATTTGGCCACAGGAATATTATTTTTCTTTCTGAAAAGTTACTATATTTGTACAACAGGTTTACCATCTAGCCCTAGCTAGCTTGATTAGCATGTGGCATAAACCAAACAGATTCAAGGGAGACACATACATGCCTGCTAATTGGTGCTAAATAACAGACAATTTTCAAGAAATTTCTTTTAAAATGCTCCAGAAGGTATTAACCCCACAATAATGGAGAAGAGGTCCAGTTCAGTAGCACAAGGCATCAGTGAGGTAGGCTTAGAGACCAGTCAGGGACTCCCTGGCAACCTCCAGTTGCTAGGAAAGGTGCCTTTCCCCCTACAAGTTGTACAAGTTGTTGCTGGAGTTGTTAGGTGTAACTGGTCGCAACAAGGGTGCAGCAGCTCCTTGTTATTGCTTTGGCTGAGTGCAAAGAAGACACTGCATTGTCTGCAGACACTCATCAACTACATGCTGATTGTTGTGAAATTTAAAAAGGTGTGACACAAACTAGAAAGATGTTTGGTTTCAAAGTAAAAGTTGTGTATTACCACTGCAACCAACATTTTTCAAAAGCCAAAGATTTTACTTTATAGGCATTTGTTTGTGTTGCACTTTTCATAATTTCATAATTACTCACCAAGCGGTAGTAAAACCAACCACAGAGGATTTTGGCATTGGACCATAAAGTTCTTTGTGTCCAAAATCACCAAGCAACAGCCAGCAACCGCTTGCCAATCAGTTGAGCAGTTCACATTTTTCCCTAGGAACTGGTGGTTGTAAGTGGATCGCTGACGAGTGTCTAGGCCTGTGTGACTAAATTAGCAACTACAAGGCCTATGAGACATCAGTCTATTACAACTGCCTGTAAGCACAACTGTTAATCAAAGCAGACAGGCTCTTAACTTTTGACTTATTTAAAAGAGAATCCTGCAGTTGTTATGAAAAGTATCCGCAAGGTCCAAAATATTCTTTTGCATCAGGTTGTAAACAGCACTTTTTATAACATGGGTGTCTATGGGGACTGACTTTGTTTCATGAACTGCAGTTGCCAGCCAGCTGAGACTGCAAGAAGTCATGATCCTAACCCAAAATGTAATCCTATACAGAAGCCCCCATCTGAAAGAATAAATAAATAAATACAAATCTTAAAGCCAACTCTCTAAAAATCATAATCCTGAAATTTGAAATTTCCATTCCTCAGTTTGAACAGTAACTGCTTAAATAAGTTTTAGTTTTAAATAAGTTTTAGTGATCACCAGATATGACATTTCTGCAAGCAGAACAGTTTTACTCTCAGCACTTCACTATTGTTTCACTGTGTGCGTTATCACGTGTTAGAATAGTTCATCGTATTGCTAAAATCTGCTGAGCGCACAGGTGTCGATTATGATGTACGAGTATTGTAAAGCATTTATGGAGCCTGAGAGCAACTGAGTTGCAACAATTTGTGAACATGAAGGAGACTACTCTGATACATATTTTATGAAGGTAACTACCTGCCAGTGGAAGAGGAGTAAGGATGTGTGTGCTGGTGTAGACATAATTTAGGAGCAGAGTATAGAGTATTGTTCTAGAAATGGAGGCAATTTAATGATTGTTGTAAAAGTCAGACCTTTAAGTGTTAAAACCAGTAGCAAACATACAGAGGCGACAGGATGTCCAGTGATTTCCAACAGTATTTTGCTATTGTATTTACAGTTGTGGTCAGTTGTGGTCAGAAGTTTGCATACACTCATCATTAGCATAAATATTACAGTAATTGCAGGCTGTGGACATTGATGCTGGTGTTCTGGCAGTTTCCCGTTCATCATAAACTTGAGCCTTTGTGGTTCCTGGATTGTTCTTGAATATCATAACCAATTTCCTCTGTAATATCAGTTTGGGTCTCATTACTAAAAGATTTAAGTGAGTTCATGTATAATTTCAACTCTGTGTGGATAAAAATCCAAATAAATTCAAACTTTGTTCACTCTAATTCTTGTTTTTCAAAGATTCATTTTAAATTCTAAGAAATTGTTAAAAGCCCTAAAATTACCAAGACATTCACGAATGTATGTAAACTTACATATTTAAACTTATATTTCAACACTGAGTGACTTTTGACACTGATACGCTGCATGTTTATTCTGTCTAATGCTGATTATGTACATTTTTGATTTTGAATATAGTTATAGTTTGAATATAGTTTACCATTTTCCCCCAGGATCCCTAAAAAAAAAGCTCTTATTTTTGCAAAGTATTTTTGCTTATAGGCTAGAAGCCAGTTATTCCCAGACAAAAATAATGTATTTTAGAGATTCAGTCCGATATTATAATATTATTAACACACTATAGATTTATATCAAATATCATTTGATATAAATGATTTCCAGTGTCAGAGAACTTGACTTACTCGTTAATAAAAGAACAAAACTTAAAGGTTTTGTGGTGAGTTTGAGACCTTCACCCATGTTTAGAGAAATACAACTAAGACTGTAGTAGAGATCATAAGCAATGTCAGTGTCCAGAAGTAGCCATTTCTTAAAAAACAAGAGGAGGTTTTGAGCATGTTGCATTTCTACTATACTCTCAGTTGCTATGGCCTCACTCAATCAGTCATGTAGATTTCATCACGGTGTGTTCGGAGCCCTTCTTCAGAGTTGGCAGGGTAATTACTGAAAGGGCCTACTTAAAGCTGTAATTTTCCAGATGGCAGGCAGGCAAGACATAAGAGCCGGTTGCTCTCACCATGTGCTGAAGCTGGAGCCTATTCAGTATCACTTCAGATGGCATAGAGCTGCTACAGGCCTGACTGAGTAAAAATATGTAATAGTCAAAGCTCTTTTGGCTCAAGAAGAAAAGCTTCAGATTCCCAGAAGCCAAAAAGCAACTGCTCTATATCTGAGGGGGGACCTGTGAAGAACAGACATGAGATTTGATTTCAGATGGGCCAGTTTTGCAGCAAAACGGGGGGATGTGGAGCAGATCTAAAGTTCAAAGCCTACAGCTGTGTTAGAGAAAAGAAGTGAAAGGTCAACAGACTGGATTCGGCAGTTTGTGGAGCTGCACCCGATGAGAGCAGATAGTCAGCAGCTGCGCAGTGACAAGGAGATTTACCAAGGCAAAGGTCCTCTCACCAGGATAAAGTACTATTCAGCTGTCTACTTACATTAGGAGTCAGGCCAGTGTTTATAACGCTCATATTCATGTGATAAATATAAAGACTATACTACTTACTGATAGGAGTTTACTGTATGTCAGTTAGTATACCAACCCATTAAAAAAAGACTCTTACATGCAGTATATAATAAAAAAAAATAAGAAAAACACCCACATGTTGACTTAAAGCAGCCAGCAACGATATTGTGGATTCAAACGAAGCACTGTCATCACACCAAGCCAGTACATTCTTCCCTCTTCTCCTTTGTCTCAATTTCTCCCTGCATGACAGAAGAGGAGCTCGCTCCCTGTTTGGATTCACTGGGTGGTGATGGACAGTGGTGAAAAGGAACACTTAACATTTCAAGAAACTGAAATGGAAGAGGATGTTTGACAAAAGCTGGCCACAGAAACGCAAACAATCTCCTCGCAGACAGCAGCAGTCGTTGCCGTGCGGGTAACCCGAGGAGAGCAATCCATCAAACTTTAGTTAGTGACTAGCTGCCTTAAAGTGCAACACAAAAAGGAACAAATTTGATTGTAACCTGTTCAAAAACTGCTGCTCGTGATTAAAAGCATTCGGCGCTCCTGAGGGCATGTGAAAATGTCACATCATGAAATCTTTTCTTGAAATTTGTTCACAAAAATGCCCCTGGATCATTAGTCTATTTTCAGAGTTACATTTATCCAAAACAAATGAGTTACGTTCAGTTAGGCTTATGCAATAATTGCAGGACAACGTCGGTGCCGTGTTATTTAAAGCTTAAATTTTCTTTCTGACATAAAGTCAGACAAGAGCTGAGTGACACATCGCTTCTTTGAAATGACAGCAACTTTATTCACATTCTACTCTTCCCCAGGTCATCATCGTCAGCCACAAAGCTCAGAAGGACAAAAAAAATCACCGCAGAGAAAGGAAAAAAGTGAAAGAAGAATGGCACGAACTAAGAGAGAGAGCGGGAGTAAAGACCAGCACTGGAAGAAGGGGGAATTATTCTTTTTAGGTTCAAAGGCGATCTATTCCCTACCACTCCTATCCATTCACTTTGTGCCACATTGACCCCAGGGGGAATGGGAGTTACTTGTCACTGATGCCATTCACCCATCAGTCACAGTGTTACAAGATCCTACGGGCTTCGCTTTGTGGGGCGGAATCTCCCAGCAGAGACCCACATGTGATGAAGTCAGCACCACTTCCACTGTGTGACTTTTCCCTCTCCCTCCGTTCAGCAGATGAACAGATTTATTATCTCTACAAAGGTTACATGGAGTTTCTTTGAGTACTGCAAAGGGCCGAGCTCTGAATATTCCAAATAAGCACATACAGTATGAAACCAAAGCTGGAAACTATTTACTTTCTTGGAAAGATGGTAGAGGTTCTTCAGAGTGTCAATTTTGTGCTGCTTAAACTTTCATCTTACCAGGTTCAGGTTTATTCTTTATTCAAACTGACGACGCACAGAGACGCAGCTGCTTCTCAAGCTCTTATTTATACTCATACTTTTTCTTGGTTTTGTATATATTGCTCTTGATGAGCGTTATTTTTGTTGGTCTTAACTGGGACTTGAGTGCAAAATTTAGTTTCACCTCATGGCAATAAAAATCCTTAGATCCTTGTATTCATCAAGCACAATCAAAGGCTGTTGGCTGCTTTTTTAATTTTGATGGCTTTTATGTTATATTATGGTGACAATAATGTCACATGGATGAACGTCTGCATGACTGTGTAAACTATATTACACCTTTGCGATTTTTGTTTCACTCCGTTTTCTGCAGGGGGTGTTACAGCTGATCTGCAACAGAAAACCCCAAGCTACCTTTTACCTTAAATAATTATAATTCCTTCTCTCTGTGCTGGCATTTAGATGAGCTTTCTTGACCAGATAGTAGTTTTAATAAAATACATTTATGCTATATTAATCTCTTCTTGTCTGATTGAAACCTGTAGTGTAATGCATACTCCTAGTGTATGCATTCCCAGTAACTCTGCAGACACAAAGACTGGTAATGACTACACGGCTCTAGCCCTGGAGTGTCAGGTATAGAATAACACAGAGGAAAGTATCTTGGGGCACCATAAATGTTCTGAAACAAGAGACAGATTTCCGCAAGTAGATCCAGGTGGTCTGTGGTTCCACGTCATCTGTTACTCGTGAAAAGTTTCTTTTCTCTCTGCCACTGCTGCATAAATATCGAGGACATAAAGTGCACTGGAGCCTGCCACTTAGTACCCTGATTGACTTTGTATGTGACTCTGAATATGATCTGAAGTCAGTTTTTGAAGCTGATGAAGGGAGAGTTGGCAAAGAACTTGAATTTTTTCAAAACATGCAAAAATGATATCCAAGAAAGTGCTTTACAAATGCGCAGTCAGTGAATTGTTATGGACTTATTTGAATCTCATTTTGACCACCGGTACTTTTAGTAACGTTTTACTGGATTCTGTGTCTTATATAACCACAGACTTGATAAGAACACAAGGACTGACATGAATTCCTTCACCGTGGTTGTAATCTGAGAGCTTCAAAGTTGGAACTAAGGGAACGCCGGGGCCCACCATGTGAAAAGAGTCCACTCGGGCCTATCCTGAGCCACACAGACCACTACTCACTCCATCCACATCCCCTCACAGCAGGATCTAGCCATCTGGACTAATTTCTGCTCTGACAGAATGGCTCTCAAGCCCCATCTGTATTAGGGCTCCATTCACAGTGGGTGTGTGGAATGTGCTTGTCTGGGAGGGAAGTTAGTAGATTTAAGGGATGACGGCATAACGCAATATATCTTTTCACCCTGTACACTGGAGCATGTAATTTCATCAACATCTGTATTTCATTTTTAGTGCCTTGGTCAATTTAGGGGTTCAGTCAGTTTGCATTCAAGGCACCAGGAAGGCCTCAAATCACTTTATTATTACATGTAGTAACATTATTTAGATTACAAATTTGTGTAAGACATAAAACAAATGTTTATAAAACATCTCAGATATGCCAGTGTTCACCTAAATCTAACTACTGCAATCCAGAGGCTGATCAATAATATCAAATTTCCCACAACTATCAAAAACAGATGCATATGTAAATGTTTATTGGTCAGTTTTTAGTCTATATATGAATAGTAAGTTGTGGTGAAGGAGTGATTGAAACCCATAACATTACCGTAAGTGTTACAGGGTCAGTTTTACTCACCTACTATGTCTTCTCAATGTCTCAATCAATACTGTCATTTAATCAATAACGGTGAAAAAAGAAATCTCCTCATGAAAAGTTGTTAATGTTAATTCTGGGATGCAAAACTAAAATAACCTGCTTTCCCCCAAAACAATATATACAGTAGTAAATCTGGACAGGACCTCACTGCATGCATTACTGCCATTCTTGGGCCTACAGCGACAGCCCAAGCCTATTAGCTGTTCCGTTACTATAGCGACTTGTACTAAATCCCCAGAAGAGTAGACAGGAAGGGGTCCGAGGGCAAAAGTGGGTCATTTGGTTGATAACCAACACATGTCTTGCCTCAGTGTCTCAGTCAACTAATACACCAATCCATGGAGGAAAAAGATGTCTTGTAAGGATGGTGTGGCTCTACGCAAAATGCTTTTTAATAAAGCACACCTAATAAAGGATGTTAAATTGTAAACTGCTGAAAAACATAGTTATAAGAGAGACAGCCAAAATAATGTTTCACAACATGGGAATATTGTATTGCAGTATTAATATAGACACTGAAAAGGGTCGACCCTTATAATTATGATTATATTTCTAGTGTGTCTGTTGAGTGAGGCGGGGGTCCCTAAGTTCTCAATGTACTTATAAATTGGTGTGAAAACAGTTCGTAGCATTTGTATCTGGAGGCCTGGAGTATCTTCGACACAGTGTTAATAATTAAACAGTGTAGAAAACAGCAGCTTACCTTAGTTTTATCAATAGAGAATCTACAATTCATGAAGTTAATATCTACAGGCCCCCTCATTTAAAAGTTTCCACTGCACAAGGGGGATAGGTGGTCAGTCCAAATATAAATAATGGTAGCTGTTTACTTTAGACCAGTCACCTGTCCTTCTCCTGACTGCCTTTCTGATTATAGTGTGTCTGATACATCTTTGGACTTTTGTAGTGTTGTTAGATTACATAAGTTTATGTCTATACATAAATTTATGATCAAATACACCAAGTGCTGCATAATCCTGCCTTGACAATGAAATGGTACCAGTAGAAGCTGTATTCTGCACAGCTCCTGCGAGAGAGTGGTGGAAAAACTCAATGTGGAGCTGCTGCCTTTTGGCTGTGAGCTTTCCAGTATAAGTCTATTGACAGCGGTTAACAGAGGTGCTATCAGTCCAATACAGGCTGGCAGCGTCCCCCAGTGGTGTTTTACAAAACAGTGTGGAGTGACTGCTGGAAAGCAAAGTGGAAAGGCCTGTTCTTTGGTCGGGATGAAATGGGGCGGGGGCTATTTGGCCAATCAGTAGCTCTGAGTTTACTCATTGGCTAGAGGGGAACTGTCAGTCAAATCTCCCAAAGACTGTTTTTCCTGCGATTTCAACAGTACAGCCTCAGAGTTTGAGGGGAGCAGATCCCCGTCGACAAAGCCCAGTGTCTTTACAGCACTGAAAACAGTAAAAAAGTATTCTCAAATAATACTAAGTAACACTTTCTGTATTAGAATTTCTACTATACAATATCATGCAAAATTAAATATTAAAAATAGCATCAAACGTTTAAAATAATGCAAAATGAAGCAATTCAGTATATTATTTCCATCAGGAATTTACATTCATTGCAACTGCTTTATAAACCCACCGCTGTATCATTTTAAAGTGGATGGTATTTTTCTCTTAAATGTATTGAACTTTATGTAACATCAATTGGAAATACGTGGAAGTACTCTAAAATTAAATAAAACTAAAGTGCACCAAGATCCCTGGTTCGATCCCGGGAGGAGACACAATACATTTATTTATTTATTTATTTATTTATTTATTTATTTATTGTATTCTCGGACTGTCTTTTTGTTTCCAATAAAATAAAACAAAATTTATAGGAAGTGCGCATGCCCTGCCATACCCTGCTGACGCCCATGGGTGGCAGGGCTGTTCCGGACCGCTGGACTGGGACGGTCGAGCGGACTGCTCCCTGATTGGTCGCTGCTGTGCGCGTCCCCGTCGTCTCCTCCCGGTTTTCCTGGCATGACCTTTTCCCTTGGCAACCACTTCCTCCGAGCATCAACGGCCATCTTTAATTTTAACTCATTCATGAAAAGTTGTTTCGCTCATTTACTCACATCGACCGACACATTTGAGCTCAAAGCAGCGTCACCGGCGCTTTGTGCATGTTGTTTCCAGCGACAAGCACAGAGCAGAGCCGAGCGGCACCGCAGCAGGCTATCCTCCGAGATTAAGTAAACACCGAGAGCGTACGTGCATATTGTTCATTACAGCGTCTAATGCATCACCGAGGCACGCTTCTGTTCACTCATGTTTCGGGCTGCTGTCTGCTAAATGTGCTCGTAACCAGGCTGTGAGTGAACGACGCTCACGGCGATACTAACATGTTGCTTTTTTTGGACTGAAGGAGCACAATCACCCGACAGAAACAGCAGGTGGAGCGCTGTAACAAGTGTGCCGATCATTGTATGAAGGGCACAGCAGAGTAGTCGCCACTGCCATGTTCTGCTGGAAAAAAAAAATCCCAGCAGCAGGGAGATAAAAGTGAATGTTCCTGACTCCACCGTGTTTAGTTTGTTTTTTTTTTAGCACGAAAAGAAATGAACTCCCTGTTCTTGTGATTGCCCTGGCCTTCATTCATTCGCTTATTCTCTATCGTGGCAGAATGAGAAAGAAGCAGACTGCCAAACAGAGGAAGACTGAGGAGACTACAGTTGTCCAGGAGTTTGTGGTTGAAAAAATAATTCGCCGCAGAATCTCGAATGGGAGAGTGGAGTACTTCCTGAAGTGGAAGGGCTTCACTGAGTGAGTGGGATGTTGCAGAACCAGTCATTTGAACGGTTTGATTGTGTAACCCGTTTATCCACCGTAGTAAAAATTGCCTTTCCCTCCTCCTGTTAACTCTAACCGCAGTGCAGAAAACACGTGGGAACCCGAGGACAACCTGGACTGTCCTGAACTCATAGAGGAGTTCTTGAGAAACGCCCACTTCACCGAGGAGAATGAAGAAGAGCCACCCGAGCAAGGGTTTGTTCCCAAAGAGGAAATGGCAGAGGAAGAGACAGAAATTGTGAGTATGTGAGGAATTTTGGAGTTTCTGGATCGTCTGTATGTCTGTCTGTTTCCATGTTATTTACAGAACTTCTGCAGCTAAATCTGCCAAAAGGGAGAACAACAACGAAAAATATAGAAGTATAGGGAACACAATAGAAGTATGGTAGCATTTTCCCTTTAGTTGTAGACTGAGGTTGGAATGGAGTCAACTGACTCCTTGTCAGAAATTGTTTTAAGGCTCAATCTGAAACTAAATGTCGTGTTAAAGAGGTTAGTTTTACAAAAGCTCCTGAAAATGAAACCAGTTAAATTTCCCCTTTTTTCTGCAATGGGTGTGTACAGTGAGGGAGAAAAAATGAAATGGCTCGACTTAGCAACCTTCTTATCATGTCTAGTAAATCTGTGCTGCAACTTTGAACTTTGCCTTTTCTTATTTTGTTCTTTTAGTCCTGCGTGCAGGAGGCTCAGGCTGTGAAGACGGACAACAGCGTCCTTCAGCCCGATGATGAGCAGACAAACTCCCCCAGTGACCTCAGTACTTATCTCGAGCCCGAATGCATCATCGGCTCAACGGACAGAAAGGGAGAGCTCATGTTCCTAGTCAAATGGTGACTGCTTCCTCTTTACTCTGTCCTTGAATAATAAATGCCAGCACTTGAGTAAACGTGGAAAATGTTAATATTTAAAGCCAGAGTCAGACAGCAAAGTGTGTTGGGGGGGGGGACTCAATGTTTTTGTTGCTGTTGCTTTGTGGGAAACTGCAGTTTTCCAACACTTTATATATGCATGATCATTTACATGAAGAGAAGTTGGACGTTGACACTGACCACCTCAAACCTTATTAGTAACAGATTGGAGAGAGCAGATGGGCTTTGGGTTTATCATTACACACAACCATTAAGCTATAGACTCGGGGGCTCTTAACTATGCGTACCTGGACTATTAAGTCCAGCTCTGCAAAGATCTACCTTTATGAGGCTCCGAGTGATCGGCTTAGAT